CCCCCCGGGAAGGCCCCCCGCCGTCTCCGTGGGTTCTCCCCCGGGATGCTCTCCCGTCTCCGTGGGTCCTCCTCTGGGATGCTCTCCCGTCTCCGTGGGTCCTCCCCCGGGGATGCTCTCCTGTCTCCGTGGGTCCCTCCCCGGGGATGCTCTCCCGTCTCCGTGGGACCCCCCGGGATGCTCTCCCGTCTCCGTGGGTCCTCCCCCGGGATGCTCTCCCGTCTCCGTGGGTCCCCCTCCCCGGGATGCTCCGGTCTCCGTGGGTCCTCCCCCGGGGATGCTCTCCCCTCTCCGTGGGTCCTCCCCCGGGGATGCTTTCCTCTGGCACCCGAGGGGACAGCCGGACAGCCGCAGCCGTGTAACCTAGGCTGCTCCGCCCAGAGTGCGGACCAAGCCTCGCTCCAGCTTAGTTAGCCTTCTTTGTCTATCCCAAGGTGGGAACGTGCGGCTTTAAAACGCGAGGGTTACGTGAGTAATCACCCGTGTGTGCACAGCCAGTCCCTTCCTTTTAACTTTTCGGTTTTTTGTTTTTGTCGAGTCAGGGTCTCACAGAGTAGCCCTGGCTAGCCAAGAACTTTTCTAGGAAGATCAGACTGGCCTCGAATTCTCAGAGATCCACCTGCCTCTGCCTCCCAAGTGCTGGGATTAAAGGCATTACAGCCCAGCCATTTCTTTAAAAAAGTTATTTCGAAGATGAACTGTAAGTTTTCTAACCTTTTATATTTTACATTAGGAAATAATTGGGCTTTCTAAATTAATAATAACACTTCGACAAGAAAATTAGAAAAGTAGAGTTTGAGAACAGGAGTTACCCACGTTCACATAAAATATGCCGGGCGTTGGTGCTGCACGCCTTTAATCCCAGCACTCAGGAGGCAGAGGCAGGCAGATCTATGTGAGTTTGAGGCCAGCCTGGATTCCAGAGCAAGTGCCAGATAGGCTCCAAAGCTACACAGAGAAACCCTGTCTCGAAAAGCCAAAATAGTGTGTGTGTGTGTGTGTGTGTGTGTGTGTGTGTGTGTGTGTGTGAGGGTGTGGGTGTGGGTGGGGGGGGGGGCGGGTGTGGGGGGGGGAGGGTGGGGGGGGGGGGGGGGGGGGGGGGGGGGGGGAGAGGGGGAGGGGGGGGGGGGGGGGCGCGCCCTGGTGCTAGAGGAAGGTGTCTGTGCTGAGGGTAATGGAGTAATTGGCATTAAGTGCTGGAAGCTTAGTTGAAGAGAACTGCAGGCACTAATTCTGTTCAGTAGAGGGAGCTTTTAAAGGATTAGAAAGTGTTGACGAGCAAAGACAGTGGTCCCACCTTCCTCTCCAGTGACTGGTAAAAACCATAGGAATATGGTAGGATCCCAGAATGCCTAGGAATGTCACCAACATTGTCTGACTTTCTATTTCCTTGCCTGAAACATGTGTGGTGTATAGCATCTCTCACTTAACTGAGACTCCCTCATAATCAGCTTCATTCCAGTGACAAGCAGTTATTCCTTTCTTGCCTGTCCTGTTCTTCCAGCTTCCACCTCTGGAGTGGCTTGGATTGTATTACAGTCCTGTGTGTCTTCACTGTCTTGTTTTAGGTAGTGCTAAGAAATGAAACTCTGGGCTTGGGTTATTTTGCATGGCTATTTCAAGGGGCAGTATCTGATAGGGATGTCAGAAACGACAATACTGGGACTTGGGTATAGTTCAGTGGTGTAGCAGGCATGAGGCCTTAGATTTGGGAGGGGATGCAGAGGTAAGAAATGAGAAGACTGCTTATTTTAGACTACATTTCAGCTTATCCTTACTGGGGCCTCCAGTATAAGAATAGTCTTCAGGGCCCAAGGGAAGAGGAAAGCATTTTCCAAGATGTACATTGAAAGTTAGGCAAGGGGGCTGGAAAGATCCCTCAGTGGTTAAGAGCACTGCTGTTCTTTCAGAGATCCTGAGTTCAATACTCACCACCTACATAATGGCTCACAGCCATTTATGATGGAATCGGATGCCCTCTTCTGGCATGTAGACTGAGCACTCATAAGATACATAAAT